TCACTGATCCGCGGGGGAGCAGCTCTGCACAGAGAGTCCAGACAGCAGCTACGAGCCTGCGAGACATGGGGATGATGAGAGACTTGGGGATACTGAGACACTGGGAGACATAGAGACACTGGGGAACATGGGGACCCTGAGACACTAGGGACACAGTGGCTCCATGTCTCCCAGTGGCCCTTAGTCTCTCAGTGTCCCCACGTCTCCCAGCCAGTGTCCCCATGTGTCTCTCAGTGTCCCTAGTCTCTCAGTGTCCCCATGTCTCTCAGTGTCCCCGTGTCTCTCCATGTCTCCATGTCTCTCCCAGTGTCTCATTGTCCCCATGTCTCCCAGTGTCCCAATGTCTCTAAGTGTCCCCTAGTGACATCGGGACACTGGGAGACATAGGGACACAGACTCTAAGGGACACTGGGAGACATGGGGATACAAATACTAGGGGACACTGGGAGACATGGGGACACTGAGACACTAGGGGGCACTGAGAGACATGAGGACACTGGGCGACTTTGAGACCTGGGAGACATGGGGCACTCCCAGTGTCCACATGTCTTCCAGCCAGTGTTCCTAGTATCTCAGTATCCCCTTGTCTCCGTGTCCCTGGTGTCTCTCAGTGTCCGCAGTGTGCCAGTGTCCGCAGTGTCTGTGTTTCCTAGTCTCCCAAAGTCCCCTAGTCTTCCAGTGTCTCAGTGTCCCAATGTCCCATAGTGTCCCCATGTCTCCTAGTGTCACCTAGTATAAAAAATAAATCTCAGGCACTCACTGTGATATATTTAAGTCTAGTGAGCAATCAGAGAGAAGTTGTTATATTTCTACTCCTGTCTCTATTCTGCCTGTGAATGCCTTATGAGTTCATAATTACTCAATCATTTCTAGTTCACAGAGAGATTTTTCACTTATTTTTTAATTCTTCAAGTTTATTCAAGACAGGCATTAGATAAGAGCAGTAGATAGGGGCTGCAATCTGAAACAAGTTACCAAGCCCAGACAACTGAGGGTTAAAGCAACTGTAGCTAATTAGTATCCTCTTTATGCTCTCTCCGTTTTGCAACAATATTGCAACACTGTGCTAATACAGAAGTCCTAACCTGACAGCTATCTGGCTCAGTTTCTTCACTCAAACTGTCTCCTATAATGAATTGCATTAACCAAAATTAGGAGAAGAGAGATTGCAACAATTTGTAATTACAAACAACCTTCTACTAGTTCTATATTATGATATTGTAGAATCAATGACATCAGCCATCTGCTCCCTGTATCCTGGACACCTACTCAGTGTGATATAAGAAAATCCAGCTCCTGATAGAGACCTCACTCAATAAAGTCAGAGATTAGGACAATTGGACGACTTTATATTCTTTATCTATTTCTGCATATATCATCTATTTTTTCTGAGTAGGTAGAGGTATAGCCAGTTGGCTTTGGATTTGCTATCTGACCATTAATAAAAGTGGTGTGCAGCGTTCTATCAAAGAGCATACATTTCCTCATCTTGTGTCCTTTTCCAGCTAACACCGACATTCAGAGTCTTTTAGCTCTGGAAATAGGTAGTTATTATTACGCTGTGATAGATTTAAGCAGATTTATTGGACACCGCAATGTTTCAACCTGTAACCAGGTCTTTATCAAGTCTCCAGTGTTCCTTATGTATCACAGTGTCCACTGTGTATCAGAGTGTCTCAGTGCCCCATGTCTCCCAGTATCCCTGGTGTGTTTCAGTGTCCTTAGTGTCTCAGTGTCCCCTAGTCTCCCAGTGTCCCATAGTCTCCCAGTGTCCCCATGTCTCACAGCGCCCCCAAGTGTCTCAGTGTCCCCTAGTATAAAAGAAAAAAAATCTCAGGCACTCACTGTGATAGATTTAAGCAGGTTTATTGGACACCACAACATTTTGACCTGTACCCAGGTCTTTATCAAGTCTCCAGTGTCCCCTATATATCAGTGTCCCCTATGTATCACAGTGTCTCAGTGCCCCATGTCTCCCAGTGTCCTCTCATGTCTCAAAGTTACCCAGTGTCCCTAATAGTCTCAGTGTCCCCAGGTCTCTCAGTGTCCCCATGTCTCTCCATGTCTCCATGTCTCTCCCAGTGTCATAGGGACACTGGGAGACATGGGGACACAGACACTAAGGGACTGGGAGACATGGGGACACAGACATGCCCCCTTTTTGTGTATGTTCGCCCCTTTCAGCAGTTCTGGTTATGTGATTTGTGTCAGTGGCCCACCCTTTTGCCCCGTCCATAGACTTCCTGCTTTACTGGACACTGCGGTTAGGGGGTATGGGTTTACTTGAAAGATGAAAGCGTGGGTTTGTGCTTTCTCACAGCTGCATCCTATGAGTTTCCCTCCAGCACCATCTCCATCAGATACATGACGCTTAGGAGGTAGGACTTTTGGTCAATAAAATTTTGTAACTAGGCCCGTCATAACTGTCAGCACCAGGCCCACTGGGCTCTTAATCTGGCCCTGTCCTGAGGGTGCGAGCAGGGAGCAATAAAACGCTTCTGTTCAGAATCGTCATTGCTCTCTGGTGAGTATGCGCAGCTTTGCCGCACATGCGCAGATACTTCATAGGGCGGCATTCATGTCTCGACTAGGAAGCACCTCCAGTGGCCATCTGAGTGTCCACTAGAGGTATTCCTCATCAGTAATGTAAATACTGCCTTTTTACGAAATGACAGTGCTTACATTAAAAAGCTTGTAAAGACATGCTATAGACACCAGAATTACTACGTTTAGCTGTTGTGGTTCTGGTGACTATAGTGTCCCTTGAATATAGAGAGGAAAAAAGAATCATCACAAATGTAAGAAATAAAATGTCTGTATCATTATTCTAAAAATTATTTAAAAGAAGGGGGCGTGTCCTAGCGGCGGACGAGGACGGACGCGTGAGTGCTGAGCTCCTCTGCTGTACGGTGTTCGCAGCATAGTCACGGCGTACACCCGACCGCAAAAACCAACAGAACGGCGGGTAAACACCTGCCACATACCACAGGCACAAATGGCGGCGAAATCGTGCAAGAAGTTGAAGCAGAAAACGCTTCAAATGCACCTCACCTCGGCCACCATGCTGGATATGGCGGGACAAGATGGCGCCGACGGCCCGAGCTCACCAACCTCCGTTTCGGAAGTAAGTGACCCTGCTCACAGCATGGCTGACTACTCTGCCCCAGTTACAACTGCCACTCTCAAATCCTTACTTGCAGACCTCAAATCCACATTCCACACAGACCTCATGCAAATAGCATCAGACATCAGGTCAGACATTCAACAAGTGGGAGACAGGACTGCAAAGTTAGAAGAAAGGGCAGACGAAATAACAGACGCCCATAACTCTCTGGCAGACGCTTATACTGAACTACAAGACAAGCTTAAAAGGCTAGAAGACAAAGTGGCCGACCATGAAGATAGAGATCGGCGTAATAACATCAGGCTGAGGGGGATTCCAGAATCAGTAACACCGCAAGAGCTGCAATCCTACGTACAAGGACATCTTTAAAGAATATGTGCCAGAATTAACGGAAGGAGAGCTCTTACTCGATCGGACCCACAGGTTGCCCAAACCAAAACATCTGGGCCCACAAACCCCCAGAGATGTAATCACGAAGATACACTACTTTACTACTAAAGAAAGAGTCATGCACGCAGCGCGACGAAACCCTCCCCCACCGGGGCGATTTAACCAAATTAAGTTATTTATTGATCTATCTGCATCGACGATGATGAAAAGGAAAGCCTTTGCCCCCATCACTGCAGCACTACGAGAGGCAAATATTCAGTACAAGTGGGGCTTCCCAACCAGACTCTTAATCAAACGCAATGGGACAGATTCCAGTATTGCATCTCCCGAAGAAGGAAGGAAGATACTGCGGGCCTGGGACATTCCTCTCACTACCACGACGACTCCCGCACTACAACACACCAAATCACCAGTGAAACTGAATAGAGTTTGGACTCAAGTGCCACGCGGCCGGTCACAGGAACCTACATGACCTCTACAAAGGGACGATAAGTATCCTCATTTGATGTGCCTAACCCATGTCACATTGCTATATTACTTTTGATATGAAAAGACAACACACTCACAAAAAAAAATTGATAAAAAAAATAAAATAAAAATAACAATAACTGTATATATCCAAATCGTGTATGCCTTGTCAAGATCTTAGCAATTGTAACACCGTACGGAGCACTGCGTCCAGTACGGGTCTCTTATGTGCGTAGACCCACTAATCTGTTGCTGGTCACCTACCCCCCAAAGTGGCTTAATTTTGAGCCGCATCATTAACCGTTTTCCACTTTTTGGTCGACTTCGTCTGACCAACGGTTTTATGTACATAGTTTGCATGTTTTTACCCTCTTTTTTGTGTTTGTTTTCTGACAACCATGATTTTAGTGTACAGACTTGGCTTATTCTAAAGATCCTAGGGATACCAGTATCACCTCACCACTTTATCCACCCATGGGACCTAAATATCAGGCCACTACATATACCCTATATACCAGGTATAAATTGGGATGACCGACATATATGCTGGACCTTTGGTCCCCGGTCAACGCCCGCAGATGGGGGGGAGATTCATAGACTCGCGAAGGGGGGGCTTGGTGGTCCCACTCCTCCCACTTGTAACAGGAGACCGCTAACCATACACCATGGTGCTTAATATCTGTTCCCTGAATGCCAAGGGGCTTAATTCTCCACACAAGAGGCGCTTAGCGCAAAAGGAGGCTAAATCCCTAGATGCCCATGTGGCATTCTTCCAAGAAACACATTTTAAATGTGGCCAACGTCCAAAATTTACTTCCACAGCATACCCCATAGCCTACCATGCTTGCTATGCAAAAAAAAACAGAGGACTGTCCATCTTAATTAGCAAAGATGTGGCTTTCTCCCTAGTTCGCAAACTTGGAGAAAAAAAAGGAAGATATATAGTGTTACAATGCTATGTTAACAACAACCCGTATACGTTTATTAATGTGTATAGCCCCAATGATCAGCAAATTGATTTCTTGGAATTGGTTTTGTTGCTATGTACCAAGCACGCCTTTGGAGAGGTGATAGTGGGGGGACACACCAATTTTTTGTTAGATGATTGTCTAGATTCTTCACACCAGAAACCCCTACAGGCCCAGACCATCAAAACCAGGAGGAAATTAATTACTCGCATTAGACACATCCTTACAGCGCACAATTATGTAGACCCATGGCGCATACAACACCCTAGCGAAAGGGACTTTACTTGCCACTCAGCAGCGCACAATTGCTATTCCAGGATAGACCGATTTCTGGTTCCCTTAAGGATGCTCCCCAAAATAGAAAGTACCCACATCGGGCTCATTAGCTGGTCGGACCACGCACCAGTTACTATGTCCCTGACAGAAAGATTCCCAACTAAAGGCCGAGGCAGCTGGCGCTTAAATGACTGGCTATTAAAAGACCCGAGTGTAATGGACCAGGTTAAACAAGATCTACAGCACTACTTCCAAGACAATACAGAACAAAATTCCACCCCGGATCAAATCTGGTTAGCACACAAAGCAGTAATTAGGGGGTGCTTCATTAAACACGCTAGTTATGCCAAAAAGAAACGCCTCGAGAATTACACTAACATCCTGAAGGAACTTGCTGAGGCCACACACTCAAACAAACTAACCCCAACCCCCACTTACCATGCCACTATCTTACGATTGCAGAACCAATTGCGCGACCTGGAACTGTCCAAGTCGACGACACTGCTAAGACGTATGAAACATAGCTTCTTTGCGTCAGGTAACAGAGCAGGAGCCAAACTGGCTTCCCAGCTAAAAACACGTTCCACAGCTGTTAAACTCTCACACCTCCTGGACGCTAAAGGAGGGAAAATACTAGACCCGCAACACATAGCAGACACGTTTGCTACCTACTACAGCAAATTATACAATCTCAACACGGATCCACAAGTGCCCACTCCCTCCACCACAGAAATAAACAGGTTCCTATCAGACCTTACGCTCCCGTCTCTGAGCGAGGACGACGCGGATTCACTCCTCACCCCTCTCACAATAGAGGAAATTTCTTCCACAATTGAATCCCTTCCGACACAGAAAGCGCCCGGACCAGATGGTCTGTCTAACGCCTACTACCGCACGTACCAGACAACACTAGCCCCCCATTTACTGAACCTTTTCAATCACAGCATACAAAAAGGGACGTTACCGGACGAATTGTTGTTAGCCCATATCTCGACGTTACCCAAACCGGGGAAACCACCGACAGAGTGAAAAAACTTTAGACCCATCTCCCTTCTCAACTGTGATGCAAAGATATATGCCAAAATTCTCAGTAACAGACTGGCCAAATTCCTGCCCAAACTCATACACAATGACCAAACCGGTTTTATCAAAGGCAGGCAGGGTTCAGACAATTCCAGGAAGGTATTGAATCTCTTAGCAGAACTAGAAAGAACCAAAGGCCAAGGCCTCTTCTTGGCGCTTGACGCAGAGAAGGCCTTTGATAGGCTCAACTGGGCTTATATGCAAAAGGTTCTTCACAAATTTGGCTTTCCTCCTCCTATCATATCTCAAATCATGGCACTATACACCACCCCAGCTGCCAAGGTGTCCTGTGGTGGTTTCCTCTCCTCGAAATTCCACATAACGAATGGGACTAGACAGGGCTGCCCACTCTCTCCCCTGTTGTATATCCTCTCCCTAGAACCCCTGGCCCAAAAGATTAGGGATCACGAACATATACGAGGTATAACCGTTAAAGGAAAAGAATACCGACTTTCTCTTTTTGCGGACGATGTTATAATATCCCTCTCAAACCCAAGACGGGCGCTACCTCATATTCTCGATCTGCTGACACAATTTGGGAACGTTTCCCATTACAAATTAAACCGAGACAAAACACAGGCGCTACCTGTTAGCATACCCCAAGACGTTTTGGTTACCTTAAAATCCTCTTATCAATTCGACTGGAGAATTAGCACCTTAACGTACCTGGGGGTTAAAATATCTCCTACAATAGCGGGAATTATAAAACACAATTACACACCTCTATTACAGCTATGCACGAAGGAGTTGGCGGGTTGGAAAGCGACCCACCTATCCTGGTTAGGTAAGATTAACACGTTCAAGATGATGACTCTCCCAAAACTCCTTTATGTGTTTCGCATGCTCCCTCTCCCGATACCCGCTGCACTATTTAAGGTACTACAATCCTCCTGTAACACATTCGTTTGGGGGGGCAAAAAAGCGAGGTTGCCACTTAAGCTACTACAAAATACACCTGACAGAGGGGGAGTGGGCCTTCCTAACATCCACCTCTACTTCAAAGCAGCCGCCCTGGCAACATGTATCGCCACACACTCACCCCAAGGCCACACACAATGGGTGGATATGGAGAGGGACCAATTTCAAGACAATTCCATGACGGACTACCTGTGGACTCCAAAACGCCTTCGGTACACGCACACACCTCTTTTCCCTACCACTAGGCTGACCATACTGATGTGGGATTCCTTTATGGCCCAAATAGGCTACAGTCATAAGCTGCATCCCAAGGCCCCCCTAACGGCACTAAAAACCATAACCCAATCACTTTCTCTTTCCCACTGGACACGAATGGGTTTAGACAGACTTGAGCACCTCTTAGAAGACAGTCGTAAGGTAATACCCTTCTCAGAACTAAGGAGGATATGGAACGTGCCTGCCCAGGACACTTTCAAATATTTGCAAATCAGGAGTATACTGACTTCCCATGCTTTGCCCCCGCCAACTCCTACCAGCATGAATAACCCATTAATGTCCTCTCTGATTATGCTTAGATGTAGAGACACACCGAACAAACCTAAAGCCCTCTCCATTTGCTATAGAACGTGGCTAGCAATGCAACCAGATGTACCTCCGCTGTGCAAAAAACAATGGGAGGAGGACTTAGGTACGGACCTACCGGATGGTACCTGGTTGGGTGCCCTGAACGGCCTGTCCAAATGGACAAAATGTTACTCCCACATAGAAGCCCACAAAAAACTACTATACAGATGGTACCTTACCCCGACTAAGCTACACAAAATATACCCGACTGTGTCTCCCCTGTGCTGGAGATGTGGAGTGGAGAAGGGCACGATGATGCATATTTGGTGGTCCTGCACCGGCATCACACCTTTGTGGGAGGATGTGGGAACACTTCTGAGGCAATTGGGACTTTCAGCTTTCTCCCCGTCCATTTCCAATTGCATATTATTGCTACCAGATAACAAGGTTAAATCAATCTATCACCAACTGGTGGTGATAACCTCGTTAGCAGCTAGAAACCTCATAGCGACAAATTGGAAAAGCACGATATGCCCACCCATGTCACAATTAAAGGATAAATTGCAACAATATTATATTTACGAAAAAATGTCTCTGGGCTCCCCCTCCCAAGCCCTTAGGTTTCGAAAAACATGGTGCAAGTGGACTCAGCTGACAAACCAGCAAGCCACGTGAGATGACATACTGGGTTCCAATACTGACCTCTAGACCCCTAAAGGATTGATCAACAATCTTGGGAAATGTGCCACCAAGCAGATTACACTTTGTCCCCCTGTTCTGTTTCTCCCGTCTCCTTCCCCATATCCGTCCCTTCCGTGGTTTACTACTGCCCCCCTTCTGTCTATGCTATACACAGATGCATGCGGGACTATCTCGCGACTATTTGCAGGTATATGACACGCCAGAATGGCAAGTTATTGAACTACAACCTTCTGAATATGTTAGGCTGTATTAAACTACTTACTTATGTTGTAAGCAAGCTGCGACTTGCACTACTAATATGTTATTGTATGTGTACATGCGACTGTGTACGGTGTTTTGCCCACTCGTTGTAAAACCAATAAAATACAATTTTAAAAAAAACAAACTTTTTTCACTGTTATAGATTGAATAGCAGTCAGTGTCCTTAAAGCGGGTGTGTCAGGCTCACAGTGGATACTGTGGCCAGTGCCACCACTCACTCACTGGTGTCACA